GAAAGACTGACATTGGAATAAGCCATGCATTCAGAGAAGGCACAGAGTATGGTCTTAGGTGGTGCAACCTGTATTTTGCACAACTCGGCTTTCATACGCACACCAAATACATTAGGAGGCCTTCCTGTTAGGTTCTTAAATAGTTCTGGAATCTGAACAAAGTACCAAGTTAGGTGGGCTCAGGGTTTTATCTAAATACTTTGCATCCCTCTATTGAATATCTAGAGAGATGCCAGGTCCCAAAGAGTTCATAATCTAAGATGCTGCAAGCGATCAGGTAAGGAATGGTTTTTAAACATATGTTTTTTCTTTTTTTTTTATCTTGATAGTATCGCTATCACTTTAAACAGCTGATAAGGCTTTTTCACTGCTATATGCAGTATAGACAGAATCCTCTTCTGACTGATCCTGGTTTTATACTTGTTTAACTCCACTGACTTGTGTGGAGTCACTTGAGAGCTGCAGGAGAATGACAATTGAATTTATACTAATATTCATCAGTGAGGTGCATCTAGTCAGGCATTTTATTATGTGAAACGTGTATCTTTTGGGTTCTTTTTTCAGTAATCACAATATTTAAGGGTAAAGTGGAAGAAGTTGAATTGCCTGTGGATAAAGTAGACATCATCATCAGCGAGTGGATGGGTTACTGTCTTTTCTATGAGTCAATGTTAAACACGGTCATCTTTGCCCGGGACAAGTGGCTGGTAGGTGCTCTGCATGTCATACTCCTCACTGGAGGAATGGTTGTTTATTTCCTGACTGCAAGCTTTTCCTACCCCCTGCATCATCACCACTACTGCCCAACACAGTGACATCTCCAAGTGCTGTGTTGTAGGCTTTAAACAGAAAGATTAGCATGGGCATCTCAGTAATCTGAGAGACCTCGCATTTTAAAAAGCTTTGCCTTTGAGTGACAGCTGGTGCAATTCAGATAGACACCATTTATCTAATGACATTGCCACAGGATGCCAACATTTCTGAGATATTAAAGCTGATGTGACACTCTGAAGGAAAACAATAAAGGCATGCAAGGGGGTGCTTGTCTGGTTTTTGTATGTGCAGTTCAAAATGTGATGTCTTTGTCAGGTGAATAGATTACGAGATCCATTTCCCCACAATTCATCAACAGAAACCTGGAGGGCTTATGTTTCCAGACCGGGCTGCTTTGTACGTGGTAGCAATTGAAGACAGACAGTATAAGGACTTCAAAATTCACTGTAAGTATGTGTTTAATAACATTCCTCCTATGTAATCATCTCCATGAAGATATTTGATTTGTGGCAAGAGAGTGGTCTCCCAGGTTATTCCTACTGGATGCTTTGGGTCTGAGTCATAAAGCCTGGTTTTATACCAGAGCAACTTTTATGCCCTTAGTTCTGATTTACAATGGTATAGCTGAGGAGAGAATCAGTCTTGTTCATTATGAAATCAAATAGTTGGACAAGACAAATGTTCAGACACTCCTGCAGGTGGACGTATTGAATGTGATTGTTATTATTGCCTGGAATAATTAGACAATGCCATGTCATTTTCAGATCTGTTCTTCATTTTAATAGGCCAGATCTTTAGCTGGGGTAAAAATCAGCCTAGCTCTGTTGCCTCCAGTGGAACGAGGCTCCTATATATTATATAGTGGGGGGGACAGAGAGAGAGAGAGAGAGATAGAGAGAGATCTACTGTGGTTAGTCTATAAGGTGTAAATCTACCCTGCCTTAAAGATTCCTCTACACTGGTCAAGGATCTGTCCCAAGGATGTTAAGCCTATTGATTCCCATTCCCTGGCGTTCTGGCAATCTCAGTGCCTTTTAATATATAAGCCTCACCTGCTGATCTTAGGTTTTGCATAATTACATCTTTTTTGGATCCAAGGGGCTTGGTTCTGATATCCCCTGAATCAAGGTAGATTAGGAGTAATTCCAGCAATACACTGCTGGAACTACATCACTTAAAACTGGGTATGAGCAAGATCAGAATGAAATTAAATGAAGTGGCTCAGTCACTTGTGAATTAAACCAGGGTCAATGAAATGAAAACATGCTTCTGATTCCAGCATCACATTCCAAGATGCAAATAGCTTTCACTCCTTGAATATCAGTCCTTTTTTCTTGGTGAGGGGGCTGGGGTTGACTCTTCCTTCAGTATTTGTTTTGCAAGTGCCTGGTTGCACCTGCTGAGAACAATAATCCTGCCACATTGCTGCAAGCTCCCCTTTGGCAAAGTTTTGCAAAAGGAGAAAATGTTGAGAAAGTCAAGGAAATGTGAGCGCCAGGTCACAAACACAATATCCAGAAAAACTCATTAGGTTGGGGGTAAGCTTAAGAAACTGCATCAATAATTGAAAATGCATGGATGTGAGGGAATATTCATGAATATGTGGTTGATCTTTGGGGGTTGTTTTAAACAGAAACTGTTGCACCCTAAATAATTCTTTAATGCTAACCTAAATGTGGAATTCCATGCATGTTAGAGGGAGTTTTCATTTAATGTACCATTCCTTAGTGCTATTTGGAATGGATAGCATAAAAGTCTATACTTTTTACTTTGCATAGAGAAAGCATTCAGATAGCATTTGTACTATTTCCTGTTTTTAAACCCGTGAGTATAGCAGTAATTTGAGTAGAGGCATAACTGGCAGTTTTGGGCCCTGTGCACTGGCTGAGAGGGCAGTGGTAGCAGCTGCTGTTTTTGCAGCCTCCTTATGTTGTTGCCCAGTAGTGCTGTGTAAATCTTTGGGTGCTGATTTGATTCGGAGGCGATTTGGCCTGATTTGGTGGCCTAATCTCTGAATCTGAATTGAATCAGGGGACTGATAAAAAGGTCCAAATTGATTTGAAGCTCTCTGAATCAGTTGGGAAAAGATTCGGAGAGCTTCAATGATTCGGGCAGTCCCTGCCCCTTGCAGCAGGGAGCTGGAGCCGGACTCGGAGCTGGTAAGTAGGGGGAGGGGAGGGACTGGAGGAGGAGGGAGGGGATAATGGTGGGGACCGTTGCAGGCCCCATGCCCCCCTTGGGGCTTTGGGGGGCTCGTGCAGAACCCCCCATGTGGCATGGGGATTGCCCACTCTTTTTTTCTTAAAGGATCAGAGCTGGGGAGGGCAGGGCAGCCATGGGGGGGTTGGGGCAGAGTCCCCCACACAGTGTGGGGCAGTGGGGATTGCCCCCCCCTCCCCCCCGCAGCACCTGGGGGGTCAGGGCTTTTTTTTTTTTTTAAGTGCCC